TATGTATGTATGTATGTGTGTAGAGGGAGAGGCTGCCTCTTCCTAGCACACGGTGTCTGTGCTCTGCTGTGGACAGGGCTCGTCGGCTTTGGTGTTCTTGTTATACGACGGAACGACCTGGTAGTGTGGCAATTCGATAGAAACTATGGCAGCGGCGGCTGTGGGGGCGACTGGGTTGATGCCCACAATACATCCCGGGCAGATGAAGACAAAAGTGTCCCGGTTTGCCTGTATCTCGGTCACGCTCACACATGTGTTGTGAAACCAGTCGTCGCACCTCTCACACTGTGTAGAGATGGAGTGATGGACGTTAAGCCTTGCAATTGGGTCTCATGAACTTGTGTGCCCTGTACGCGGGGGTAGACATCGAAACGCAGAATAAACAACGCCAAGATGGAGTGAAGTACCAGGGAAAAGAGCCTAAGCAAGCAATGCGTGGTACGGGCCTGACTCACTCACATCACACGTATACACATATTGTATTCAATCGTGACTCTCTAGTAGAAAAATAGAAATAGAACAAAGCTTTAGGGGATCGAACCAACGTCCGAAGGACATTCAATTAGGCGTATTTGCATTGGTAATCTGGTGGAAATTCGGATTGGGGTTTAAGCCAAATCTTGCCTACTCTGGACACGTGCTGTATATACCTGTACCCACTCAATGCAACGAAGACCAAGTGATCATACTACAGATGCCCTACTTTGTATACCGCAGGTAGCAGACGTATGTACCAGCAGTGCATAGTCGTATAGACAGCACACCACTCCCATCGAATACACACAGTCCACCAATACTTGAGCAGAGTTACCTCTCCGCTACCCCCCTTTTCGAAAAGTGTGTCCATTTGTCACATACTAGTAGCAGTTTAGATGGCGGGACACAGTAGTGGCGATGTGTTTGTTGGCATTATCAACAGAGAAGGTACGCTGCATTCCCACGTGACAAACCAAGTTTAACGAGCGCTTAATTGAGTACCCATCCAACCCTCCGCACTCAGCACTACAAACAACCACATCACACCATAAGGACATCTTGCTATACCCACTACCATTCGCACAGATGTTCATCGTAGACCAGGTTTGTAGGAGGTACTGTCCATGTTGTGGGTATGGCTAATGGCCCTGGGTCACACACACACTTGTATGGTGTATGTCCTCAGACTGTGAACTTGCCTGTAAGTGCCTTGTAGCGTAGCGCGGAAGAACATACCTGAATCATGCAGTCGTGCTCCACTGTTTTGTAGGGCAGATTGCACACGCAGTGTCGAGCGCTACCGGCGAGTGGATAGACAGGGGATAGTGGGTATGAGGGAATTAGTTACAACGGCCGGTGAGTGAATAGACACATTAACTAAATTAGTTACAACGGCGAGACATGATCATAATACTAGACTGCCCGTGAATGCTGACTACAGAACGAGACTGCAGATGAGATGCGCATTTGCCTTTACAACCCATTGCAGGCAGACGAGTTTGTACAGAAGACTATGGGTAACAATACTATTACACCTTAGCAACAATACTATTGTACCTTAGCAACAATACGACTACACCTTAGCAACAATTAAATATACCATAGCAACAATACTATTACACCTTAGCAACAATACTATTGCACCCTAGCAACAACTTGGTACACCATAGCAACAATACTATTGCACCCTAGCAACAACTTGGTACACCATAGCAACAATACTATTACACCTTAGCAACAATACTATTGCACCCTAGCAACAACTTGGTACACCATAGCAACAATACTATTACACCTAAGTAACAATACTTTTGCACCTCAGCAATACACTATGCGGTTCTCGTGCGCAGCACAGAGTGCTCGGTACCTTTATAGAGTGCTTAACGTAATGCGTAGTTGAGGAAAACGTACACGTTCGTATCATTCTATGCTGGGCTTCAAGAAAAGATTTGCCATAATACATATAAATGTTTTTGCCTTAATATATATAAACCGTTTGCCTTAATATTTATAACGGGTTGCCTTAATCTTTATAACGGTTTGCCTTAATATGCATAAACGTTTTTTGCCTTAATGGATATAAACGCTTTTGCCTTAATATATATAAACGCTTTTGCCTTAATACATATGAACCTTTTCGCCTCAATATATATAACCGTTGAGAAATGTGGCACACCTGTCCATGTCATCTTCTTCTTCATCCTCGGAACTAATACTCCTATCCTCATCCTCGGGTGTCGCTCCAGCCCTCTCAAGAATTGCAGTGAGCTGTTGGATGCCTATATCAGCTGGAAGTTCGGTCTTAGCCTCCAGTGACTTGGGATTCCCCCTGTCCCGGTCTGAGCAATTTGTACCTATTTGTCTTAAATACCCAAACTCTGAGCCTCTTTGCCCCAAACTCTCCCCGCCCTTCGGATCCAAAACCCTGTCTCCATCCTCTGTCCCAGTCACATCGTCCGTACGTCCACTTTCGCGCGCATCGCCGGATACGTCACAGGGTGCGTTGCTGGCAGGTGTGGCGGTGCATGGATCGCGCACAGCTTCACAGCCCTGCCGGCTGGTAGGTAGATTGTCTAACAAGACACTCGCCGTCTGCGTGTCTATGGGCCCCTGCGATACACACGCCACCTGTGCCTTGTGGTTCGAATCCGTTTGTGTTCGTGCGCTGTGGATAGCCTGGAGGGATATTCCTTTCGGAACTGTCAGTCGCGTCGCAGACTCCTTTGTTTTGGTCTGTGCTTTGGAGACTGTGGTGGCCTGTACCATGGGGATCAGCGCGAACTGAGTATTAGCGCAAAGGTAAACGTTAACGTATACGGCACAGTCTTAATAGGAATGAAACCTTCCAGCACCAACGCTTCTAGCGTACGGTAAACGTTAACGTACACGGCACAGTCTTAATAGGAATGAAACCTTCCAGCACCAACGCGTCTAGCGTACGGGTAAACGTTAACGTACACGGCACAGTCTTAACAGGAATGAAACCTTTCAGCATCAACGCTTCCAGTTGGACATGTAGATCCCATATCTCACTCACACTCTCGCAGACAGCCAGGGTGGAGTGTAATAATCTTAAAAAAAACACATACGGAGTGACAGAGTAGTAATAGTATTATTATAAATACCTACCGTGCAACCGACACCAACCGACACCTCCAATAATCCTAAAAGAAAACATATATCTCCGTTTTTAAGTCGGTCTCAATAAATACGATTTGAAAACCAACTCCGGGCTGTACAGCAGGCTGAAAGCAAGCAGGGTACATAATGCCCTCTCACATATGCCACAAATGGATAGTCTCCTGCCACAGACTTAAGAAGCTGTCGTTGGCTCGGTTTCAATTGGCAACTCGAGTGCTGGGGCTGGAGGCTTCGTGCCGGGTGTACGCAAACCCTACGAAAACACTACACATTCAAATATACCTGGTACGAACGCTTTGTGTGCACAACTACAAACATCACTAAAAACTGTAAGTGTGTCTACCCTTACACCGACAGGCGCCCTCGCCCACATCGAGATACCCCTTTGTGTCTGGGTCGTACATGACGTGTGGTTATCACTATCCACTGTTCACTCTCAGTCCCCCTGTGTGTGTTATGTACCGGATGCCGAGATAATTCCATGCGCTGTAACCGGTGTTTAACTAGGGACGACTCTGTGCACACAATACGGCCAGGTTATATACTCGTACACAGACAGAGACACGCTCTACATCCAGCACGACCGATAGAATCAACCCGTTTACGCATACATACTAGAACACACCTGTTGTACCTCAGCCCGAGCTTCGAGACGTTTTAACCGGCCCTCGATGAGGAGTCTCTCGTTGTGGTAGTCGATATCAAGCATGTCCATCGCAATGCATATACTCTGTAACTCGCTGTCGCTCTCTTTCGAGAGAAAGGCCCGCGCCCGCGCCCGCCAAGCGGACCCTTTGACCAGCAACGCACCGAGGGTGTCGAGCAAAGGCAGCTTGATGTTGAGCTCACTGCGTAGAGGTGACCAAGTACAGGTTAACAGTTATCAAGTGGTATGTTATGTATGGTATGTATGTGTGAGAGACGGGTACAGTTGAGAATAAGCTTGCGCATCAAACTTTCCTTTTAGACTGTCGTCCAAGCCTATCAACAGCACCCACAAAAGAAAAAAGTGCACCTCTAAACATCTAAACATCTCTCACACGCCCACCCACCTGCCCTCATTAACCAGCCTAGTCACATCCGCCTCAGACGGCTGCCGCAGATTCGCGAACTTACACTCTCGACAGAACCACCGACTCACCCGCACCTCATGCGGCCGCAGTTTGATACACACGCCGTGGTACCAATTTTGACACAGCTCACAGTGCACCATAAACCCCTCTCCCCGACAGTCGGGTACACACAGCCGGTCGTCTGATCCCCGGGCGTACGTGCGCCGTAGGGCTAGTATGTTCTGCGTGGACCGTGTGAGACGCTTCTGCAGCTGCTGTACTAGGGCCTCGGGGGTGGTGCTGGCCACGGTGTTCTTCTTGCAGAAGGTCCGCTTGACTTGCTGAAACCACCTACAAACGTAAACGCCCGGAGAAGTGGTTGTGCAGAGAGCCTGAGGAAAACGCTCAAGGCATGGCAAAGGGACTGAAGCTAGCACCGGCTAGAGAGAAGTAAAGACTAGCTAACCGTTTAGAGAGATCACCTCTCAGTACAAAGTAAATGCTCTGGGTCACATGCAGTGTGACCTGAGAAATGGTTGTGATGGATCTTGGCAACACAGAGGAGTACCAAAATGAGGCCTTTCTGAGTGTGTGTAATGGTGAAAAACGATATGCAAAAGGTTATTTGATCTGCGTGGGGCAATCAGACTCTCCTCGCGCCTTCAAAGATGGAAAGGAAGACGTCGGGTCAACGGGCGTTGCTAACTTGTGTCCATGGTTATAACAAAGGCAATAGTATGAGACATATAGCGTTTGTATCAATTAGCTGAGACAAAGAGCGCTCACAACAATGTGATATGTATATACATGCTGTGTCCTGGGTTATAACAAAGGCAATAGTATGAGACATATAGCGTTTGAAACAATTAGCTGAGACAAAGAGCGCTCACAACAATGTGATGTGTATATACATGCGGTGTCCAGGGTTATGACAAAGGCAATAGTATGAGACATAGCGTTTGAATCAATGTGTATTCTACCGGCAACACCACTCCACTCAGAACAATGTGATAGGTATATACCGCATGCACGGAGCCAGTAAGTACATACTGATCAGGCGCACGTAGCAGACCAGCCAATTCAATACGCAGGGGCAAGTTCATGTTCTTGATACAGTCACCCGCGTGGATGTGGGCCCGGACATCGTTCAGGTCCACCGGACCGTCCCTGCCGGCTAGAAGACCCTCTGCCCTTTGATTCCAGGACAGGGTGATTTGCACCTGTTACATAGATGATAGGTAATGGGGAATGGGGGTGGGGATGTGGCGGGTTTAGACAGTATAGCTGGCGTGATGGGTCTGATAACTTACTGTGAGCCTATGGGAGCGGGGTACAACTGCCATGATATGCTATTTCTTTTATTTGCAACAATACGAAATAGAAGTGTAGCTGTAGTGATGGACCTGTTATCTCTTTGTATTATATATATATATATATATACATACATACATACATACATACATGCATACATACATACATACATACATTCATATATATATACATATAATACGTAAAAGGGCAGCGTGCACACTTTCCAGTGGATATCTAAGGCTTTCGGCGCGGATGTTTCAGAAGGAAAGGGATCACAAGTGCAAAATGAAAAGCCAAGCAATGTACTTATGAGCTGACTATAATCCAATCACAACTAGCGTTGGCCATGAAGCTTACAACGACAGTGTTATAGCAAAGTTGAGTCTGAACATTTGCTCACATTGGGAATGAGAAGGGATAGCACAGATGTTTTGACCAAAATAATACCAACTGATGAGCGATGAAGCACAAACACGTGGACGTCAACACATCTGGAAACTTGCGTAGGAAAATACCATGTATACACCCGGAGCTATCATCGTACCGATTCATACCGGTTTCACTTGGGAGTTAAATAACAAACAGTCCAGGGGTAACCAGATTGGAATCGGTATTGTCAACTGAAACGAGCACATTTCATTCCAATTCATACCGCACAAGGGCTGAAGACGTGACCTCTCAAGGTTCAGAATAACACCAAACACTTAACCATACACACGCACAAACGCACACACATACACACGCACACACCCGATCCTCTAGTCGCAGCATCAGGTCACACTTGGCCAGCGGTATCGTCTGGCGAGTGTCTAACAAAGCACTCAGCGTATCCACATTCTGTGATTGGTGGTTGATTGCCTTGGCCGTGTTGCGCTTCCACTGCCTGTACTTGCCGATGACACCTTTCAATTGGTTCATCTCCCTGCCTTCTCTGTGTGCGGCCGTCCCTTGGTTGAGCAACGCTATCACCTGCAGTGCGTGGGCCGGTCAAGACAATAGGTCGTCTTATGGTTAGATATTGACCATACGGTAGCAGTAGGAATTAAACTAAGATACACAATCCTCAGTGCTGCTCTCTCACTCTCTCTGTGTGTGTGAAAGACTGTGCGCTGGTTGAGTTGTCCTAGCACCTGTAGTGTGTGGGCCGGTCAAGACAATAGGTAGTCTTCTGGTTAGATAATGACCATATGGTAGCAGTAGGAATTGAATTAAGATACACAATCCTCAGTGCTTTCTCTCTCTCTCTGTGTGTGTGTGTGTGGGACTGTGCGCTGGTCGAGTGGCCCTATCACCTGCAGTGTGTGGGCCCGGTCAAATGATCCGGCTGGCAGGATAAGTGATCAGACATCAGCGATAGATATATTTGTCATGGACGTTAGTCCAACGGATACCCACAGTGCTCTGTGTGTGTGTGGGAGATTCCCTAGTTGAGTAGCTTTATGATCCGCATTGCGCGAAGCCGCTCATTGCATATATATAAAAGACCAAATATCGACAATAGATTGGCAATGAACGATCAAATAAAACGCTTATAGTGCCCTTTCTGTTTGTGATTATCATTGTTAAGTAGCCCTACCATCTGCATTGTGCGAAGCCGCTCATTGAATATAATTAAGTAATAAACAAATTTCGACAATAAATTGGCAATGAACGATCAAATAAGACGTCCATAGTGCCCTTTCTGTTTGTGGTTATCTCTGGTTAAGTAGCCCTATCATCTGCTTGGCGCGGAACAAGTCAAGGCGTACAGGACCACGCACGTCACAGAAAGTGCCAAATATCAACACTATAAATGCAACCGCTCACGTCACACACGCTACCAAAGGCTCCAGTTACAATCAGTCATTAAGTGCCTCTGCATAGTCTTAATGTACATTCCCACACACGGAATAGCCATAGAGGTTACCATAACACTATAATAATGAGATCACAATATGAGATTTCCAGATACCACAAGAGGTTACCATAACACTATAATAATGAGATCACAATATGAGATTTCCAGATACCACAAGAGGTTACCATAACACTATAATAATGAGATCACAATATGAGATTTCCAGATACCACAAGAGGTTACCATAACACTATAATAAGGAGATCACAATATGAGATTCCCAGATACCACATACCGTGTTGGGCTGGCTCCATTTCTTCCGTTGTAGCTCATCTCTGACATTCTTAAGCCATCGCATATGCAGCAAGGCGCGATCCAGATCCTCCTGGATCGAGGTAACGTCCAGTGCTAATGCTGCCCCTGTGTCAAGTGGGTGTGTACAAGATGATCCGGTTAATTCCAGACGCATGTATTTTAGACTATGCGTATCAGACGCGTGAAAGGTATAATTTATATACACTGTGCAACAAAATAAATCTGAAACGAACTCACATTGACACATACAAGAGATGCGTATTTATACCTTTGAGGCAGGACACGAACAGTCAATAACCTCAAGCCTACACAATCCCACTCGCTAGAAATATATAGACATATGAATACATACATATATATATATATATATATATATATATATCTATATAAACTTCTACATATACATATACACAGATATATATATATAAATATGTATATGGATACTAATATACTAATATATATTTATCTATAAAATGTATATATCTATATCTATATATATATATATATATATATGTATATGGATACTAATATACTAATATACTAATATATATTTATCTATAAAATGTATATATCTATATCTATATCTATATCTATATAAATATATTTATATAT